TTAAGCTTCATTAAATAAGACAAACTCAATTCATTTTAAACATCAAGATCTTTTCCCCGAGTGTATTGCAATTTTTAGAACTGCACGCATGTGCAGGTGATGCATATATTTCCATATGACCACATTATCTTGTCTACACTTTTAATATATTTCAAAGAATCGAGTATAATAGCATTTAATCAAAATGTATAAAAGTTACGGCTCAATCAACTATATTGGTCCCATTAGAATCAAATGCGTGTGCACGTGCATGCATGTGTGTAATGACTATATCAATCTGTCTATTTTAATATTCCTGGTACTAACAAATATCAATGCATTTATTCAAAAAAATATTCAAAATGCGCTAAAATTTGTCATTTAACGCATTGCATGAGCGTGCATGTGCATGCTAACTATATCTTCCTGTGGGAATTCATTATGTCTAATTTTTGTTCTAAATTTCATCCCGCTTTGTTGACAACTAAGAGTTATAGTAGTTTTAGCCAATTGTGCATGTGGATGCACATCATTTCTTGAACATTTTAATATATCATATTATAGTTAATATTTGACTTTGTTTTAAAATTCTGTTTTTTGTCAAGAAACAAAAAAGATATTGAGTCTTTTGTTTCAGCCAATCAGAGCAAATTGCACGTGCATGCTTGTGGGTTCTTGCTATATTTACCATGTCATCTTATCTACACTACTAATATATCCTTACATAATGAGTTTCAAAGCAGTTAAAAAAATATTATATAAACGTTATGGCTATATTAAGTATATTGGTCATTTCACATGGTGTATGTGCATGCTCTTGCTAGCATGTGTGCGAAAAATGACCTTCGTTCCGCAAATCTACATCGGATGCCTACTTACCCTAGACAGGTTTTACCTCAATTGGACGAGTAGTTAAGGAGATCATTAACAGACAAATAAGTACCCAGGAAGAAGAAAAATAATAATAGTAAGAAAAAGAGTCAAAACAATATGTTCTCCAACTTAAGAATCGTTTGGGAAATATAATAGTGTACATCCCTTGTTGTTAATGCTCACTGTAATGGCGACTTAACAGTGTGTACCAAATAGCTACCTTTATATTTCCGGTAAAATAAAGAATGGCAAGTGGTGCTAATCAGTGACTATACTTAACTATACTTAGCAAATTGTGTTTCAATTTAAAAAAAAAAAAAACAGGAATCTAAGAAGGGTACCTGATATATAAAGGTAAATTAATGAACAAACATATATTTTAATAAATCTACATTCGATATTGCAGAAATAATTTTATTTTCATCTTTACATCAGGTTTTTCAGACACATTAAGTCTGTTTGTATGTAAACACATTCAAAATGCTAAAACTTGGAGCATGAATTTTAAACCTCTGATGATTTTAATTTTATAGGATCCTTAATTAAATAAAAAATTATCACTGCATTGAAGTGTAATTTTGTGCACATCCTGAGAAGAATATTAATTCAAAGACAAAAGTATGATATGGGTAGCTAAAATAAAATAAAGCGGCTTCACATAGGTAAATAAAACTAAGTAGGTAATTTAAGCTACATAGCTAGATTTAGCGATTGTACCAGACCTGATGTAGTTGAATCCACACTTTTCAAAAGTTATGTCCCTTTGCTGCCATCTTTGGGGATAGAGCCATAGAATCCTCACAGCAGCCTTTGTAGTTTTCAGGTTTGTAACTATGTCATTCGACTTGAATAAAAATTGCTGCATATTTACTAATTGTCCCATATTCGGACTACCCACACGTCCAAAGAAAACATTCAATACACAGTGAATACAAATGTTTGGTAGCATAAAGAGGAGAAATGTTGCTTCTTTCCCTTTTGGTTGACCCTACAAAGGGACATAACTTTTGTAAAGTGTGGATTGGACTATGTTCCACAAACAAAACCACTAAACCAGAATCACATCTTTATTACCTACTAATATTGTAGATATAACTGATGTAATTCCAAGTTAATATTCATTGGGTCTATTTTGAAATCATTACGCTTCGTGATTTTTTTTTTTTTTTTTTTTTTTTGCTGTAGGAAGTACAGCGGCTGTCACTGCAATTCGTCTAGAGATAATTCGAACGAAAAATTTCATCATATTTTATGTTTTAACTAAGGTATATTTTCCATACATATAGAAAAAAAAACAGCATATTAAACACCTAATAAATATATTTTATTAATACATATATAATGCAGCTGCAGGCGACAACATTTAAAACGCTCGAACAACCTTTCATCGTACGATGTGATCATGTCGCCTTTGTACAACGCGGGAGAAGTAATACGCCAATAAAACCTCAGATTACACGATGTATTCGTAAAACCACGTTATATTCCGTAAACCGTTTAAACTCATAAATATCAACATTCATACCCACCGTTCGCTATGTAAAACTTTAGACCTAAAATAAAACGAAGATTCTTTTTTCTTCGTGTGCACTCTGGTCCAAAATGGCGTCTTACTCTCCAAACCAAACAAATAGTCGAGTGCGCATGCGTAAATATTAAAGCGTGTACAGTAGGCAAATATATTCCCGGATATATCTAAAATAATTTTTTTTTTGTTTTGCAATACAAAACAATTTAAAATGTCTCTTTTCTCATGCACATTAATTTATTAATACATTGTTTAAAACATAAAGTTGACACAAACCTTTCTTGCATCAGTTGCATGTGATTTGGTCCATCAGAAGATCTTTTAAGTTATTATGCATTTTACATTACAACCAACTTAGCCCCATACTCCAAACAGACCCCTGAGCCCAGGGGTGATGATGAATTTCACAATTTTGGAAGAGGCAACCATATTCAACTTAACTGGGCACTTGGTTATATGTTATTTAATGCCAAAGTGCACAAAAAAAACTTCAAAGAAATAATGCATTTTCACTATATTATCTATTTAGCCCCGCCCTAGCACAAGAACCCCTGACCCTAGGGCCATGAATTTCACAATTTTGGTAGAGGACTCAATGCTGATTACAATCATACAAACAGTTTGACTGCTTGATGTCCAGGAGTAAAGAAGAAGATTTTTAAAGATTGCACTGATTTTAGTGGTTTTGGCCCCACCCCCCAGCCCCCAGGGGGGCAGGGACCATGAAATTCACAATTTTTGTTCCCCTTCAACCATAGATGCTATATGCCAAAATTGGTTGAAATTGGTTCAGCAGTTTCAGAGAAGAAGCTGAAAATGTTCAAATGTTAACGCACGACGCACGACGAACGACGACAGACGAAAACGGATAGCAATAGGTCACCTGAGTTTACTCAGGTGACCTAATAAACTAACTAAGTGCATAGTTATGATGAGCAAGAGTGCTTCTACCAAAATTATGAATTTTATGGCCCCTAGGGTCAGGGGTTCTGGTGTTAGGGCGGGGCTCTGTAGATTATATAGTGAAAATACATGAATTCTTTGAAAATCTTCTTCTCTGCTCCTGCGTATTAAATAAACCAGCTAAGTGCATAGTTATGATGAGCAAGAGTGTCTCTACCAAAATTGTGAATTTTATGGCCCCAGGGTCAGGGGTTTTGGTGTTAGGGTGGGGCTCTATAGATTATATAGTGAAAATACATGAATTCTTTGAAAAAAATTCTTTTCTGCTCCTAGGAATGAAATAAATTAATTACATACCTAGTTATGATGAGCAAGAATACCTCTTCCAAAATTTTGATTTTATGGCCCTAGGGTCAGGGGTTCTAGTGATAGGGTGGGGCTCTATTGATTATATAGTGAAAATACATTAAATCTTTGAAAATATTCCTCTCTGCTCCTGGGTATTAAGCAGATGAACTACCTATATAGTTATGATGAGCAAGGGCGCTAATCTTCCAGAATTGTGAATTTCAAGCCCCTAGGGTCAGGGGTACCATGGGGGGGGGGGGGCTGTACTTATATACTGAAACTGGATGAATTGTTTGAAATATGCTCCTTGGTATTAATCAAATATTTTTGAAAAGCAATGGTGCCTTTTCAAAAATTGTGCAATGTGTGTATCTAGGCTTAAGGGTCAGGGGTTCATGTGTGATAGGGGCATTACTGATTATTGCTGAATATTACTGATTACTTGAAATGCATTTTTTGTTCCCCTACCCTGCCTATTGGTATTAAGTAAACAAACTAAGCAACTGCTAAGTATATTGTTATGATGATCAGTGGTGCCTCTTTCAAAATTGTGAATAGCATAGCATCTGGCTTAAAACATGAATCAAATTCAATCACTGGAAAGTTGTTGCATAATGCTCAGGTGACCTATAAGGCCCATGGGCCTCTTGTTTAAAAACAGGCAAGCTGTTTTCATGATTGCAATGAACAGCTATCTTTCAGAAAACAAATTGAAAATCATGACCTTAGTGTTAAGGATAAGGTCGTAGAGTGAGGATAAGTTGGTCATGTATATGGAAGGTTTTTAAACCTCTGAAACTCTTCTTTACTCCTGAACTTCTAGCATGCATATTGTTTGCATACACTTGTGAAATTCATCTCTTCTTTGTCCAAAGTTTAGGCTCCAGGAAAGTTAAGTAGTTCATCAAAGATGAGTATTTCTTCTAAATACTGTTTACAGGATTATTTTTGCCCTGTGTTATTTCCCCCTTTTGCACTTGCCAACAATTTTGCTCTGTTTAAAATTCATCCAGTCATAGTTCTGTTAAAGAAATTATGCTGTGTTCTTTGAATTGGTGCCATTTGAGAGGGTGAAAGGGGCAAAAATAAAATGGGCAAAAACTTTTTCCCTGTATACACTACTCTTAGGCATCAATGCATCAGACAAATAATGCATTTAAAAGATTTATTAAAAGATGGTGTTTTGCACCAGAGTAGAAAAGCATATTAATGCACAGTTTCACATTGCAAGTGCTAAATAAAGCATATGTGTTGATAAGCACATGATACTCTGGCAACGATGGGACTTCACTTTAAGTATGATTTACTGTATCAATCAAAATGAATTATTTCAGTATTCAAGATTGGTACTTGATGTAAGTATCCAATTTTATATTATGCAGATTTGTTTTCCAGGAGACCTGTAGATATTGTAAAGAAGACTGGAAGGAACATTTTGGGAAGCGATGTGAAGAAATTGAAAAGAAGGATGAAGTTAGTCTACGAATTAAATTGTAAGTGGTTGGAGATAGCAATCTGATAGGGGGCCATCTTAATATGGAGGTATTCTGTAGTAATCACTGTGTCTATATGATGGCACTAAGCACCATTTTCTGACCGAATTATCTAACATGTATGTTGAGCTAGCTTTAATGTTTGTTCAACATTGTAGCTGCTAGGAAATACAATTTATGCTTTTTGGAACCAATGTCAGCCACTCGTGTAAAAAAGAATCATTAGGTGAAGGAAATTCAATCAAAGGGCCATGTCCTTTTATTGTATTGCATATGAAGATTTAAGATTCATAAAACTCAGGAGCAAGTTCTAAATAACTGACCCCTTAAAGAGGTGGCATGTTATTAGTTATCCAGGTTCAATCAAGGGTGTACGAGGATTTACCCCAAGTTTTATTCCATACACCCTGAGGCCGAAGGCCGAAGGGTGTATGAAATACAACCCGGGGTAAATCCCCGTACACCCTTGATGAACCTGGATAACGAATTTATGTCCTTTGTACCCATAAAAATGGTTTGTAAACATCAGAGTGTGTCTCAATCTATCGATTAAAGATAACTACGTACCTTGTGACGTCATGTTATTTCGTCTTTATCATAGAGAATGTTTGCATTATGATGTCATGTTTTATTTACACCCGGCTCAAGTCGGGTGCATGGATATTTACACCCGACTTTGTAACCAATCAAAGCTCGTGTTACAAGTTAGATAGGAAATAAATGTTTATATTTTCAAATAAATCTAAATTTATCAACCAAATTTTGTTTATTTAGATTTCTAATTCCATAAATGATGTCTTAAGTAATTTTTTTTACAGTGAGGAGAAGATGGCCATGGCCAAAATTCGAACCTGTCACCGATGTAAGGCTAAATTTATGAAGGAGGAGGGATGTAATAAGATGACCTGTAAATGCGGTGCTTCCATGTGTTATGTCTGTCGTAAACCGGATGTAAGTCTGGCAATTTTTAATTTAATTTTTTTTTGGAGGGGGAGATCTAGTACACCTAACAGTAGTTTTCTATAAAATAAAAATTCTGCACTAAAACTAAAGCGAGTTTTAGAAGTTCATCTTAATATAAAATAGATGATGTTGTTCAATGTATATTAAAATGACTGGTCTCAGTTTGAGTGCAGAATAGTATTTGTTATTTTGATGTATTTAAAATCAGCATTGTGGTGTCACCAAGGGCTTTGGTATGCTCTTTGTGTTTGTGAGGTCATGGTTGAATTCTTGTTCCTGGTGCAGCACAAATCTTTTAAGGCTTAACATAGCTAGTGGTTGTACTATCTATAGATAGAATCTGAAGTTCTTTGTCACATTGTGTGTTGGGCTGATCAAACACCCTTTCCTGTGGTGTAACCTATCTATAGGTAAAATCCTGACACTTCACGTCAGGAGACATAACTAGGAGTGAAGTATACATGAACATGATGAATTGGACACTGAATGATGTGCATCCTCATAAGTACTTAATAATGTAAAATTTTATTGTGCAATTAAGCAGCAAATATGACTTAATTTGGATCAAAAAATTTGTTCTATTGTCTGGTTTTCATAACCTTTTTGCTTTACAAGTCTGGAAAGATGAAAATAAAAACAGTGTTGTCTTTCTTAGATCTCCATCTAAATGTACTTAAACAAAAAAATTAACTGGAAACACATTGAATTAGATAAATAAATTGGCCTTTTTTAGTATTTTATCCATTTTAACATATGAATGATTGTAAATGGGTTTGTTTTATAAATTTAGAATTACATTGTTAAACTGTAGTGTATGCTAAATACAGATTTATACATGGGGAAAAATATTTTGCTTCCATTCACATAACATCAAAGACAAGCATTTGTATCATATTTCTAAAATTTGATGAAATACAGCAGTAATTAGAAAATAATTGGAGGAGAAATATTAAATCTTATCTTAATTCTAGCTTTTGTTGATGTAGCCAGACAGTTGCTACACTAATTTCAAGTGACATATCATTAGAGGCTTATAATGACAAAATCTCACACCATTAATTTATTGCCATAGAAAAGGACACATCATATCTCTTTCTGTAAATAAAATGCTTTCTAGGATAGAATGCATTTAGGCAAGTATTAGCCAAGTATTTTTATGTTTACATAGTTTTGTGACTTTTTATTGTTTGATGTTTTCCATGTTTGTGTTCATTATCAGATAAGCTACAAACACTTCTGTCAACATTTGAGAGAACCGAAGAAACCATGTGACAAGTGTAATGATTGCTTCTTGTGGAGTAAGGCAGAGGTAAGACACATGACTTAGTAAAGTCACATGACCCTAAAGTGATTAATAATACAGTCAGCCACCAAAATATTACATAATCATGATAATAGGTGGTTTTATGTAGTTTATTAAGATAAATTGCAAATCATTTGAAAAAGTAGTAAAAGGGGGCAAAAATGTGTTATTAGTAAAAACTTGAAAGATCATGTATTTCAATAAATAGATAAACAGGGGAAAATGACAAAAATAATCTGTCTTCTATCCAAAAAAAAAAATTATTAGTAGTTCTAGAAGAAATCCTAATTTTCAAATATTGATGGAAGTGGGCTAGGTTTGTTACATAAATATATGTTGGATTGTAACAGGAGGACGATGAGAGAGCAATAGCTGAGATTAGGAAGGAATGTGAAGTTCTCAGGATGGAGAAAGGTCAGATATACCAACAGCTTCATACTGTAAACCAACTTTTTTTCACGTGCGAGAAATATTCGTGAGTTTTGCGACCTACTTTAAGTCGCGAATATTAATCGCGGCGAACCATTCATTTGTATTTGTTTTTGTAGAAAATGTTTCCTTATTCGTGAAAATTAATGGCCGCGGATTGATTTCAAACTGACGAATCGCGAATAAAAGATGACGCGAATAATAGTTGGTTTTACAGTAATTATAAAGTCTATTAATTCATGTGTGTAAAATTTTAGCAAACCTGAGTAAAAGACTTCATAGGCTTTTATGATCAGAGAGTATCTGGAATCTGTATTTCATGTGTTTTATGTAAACTTTTTACACATATAACTTCTCCAGAAACCATAATGGGGAAAATCAATCAATCTTGCCACCAAACAGCCTTTGATGAAAGGGACTTCAAGTTTATTCAAATGAAGGACCACACTATTTAAAATGTAGATAATTTAGAAATAGTGAAAATTTGGTTGGGTCCTTCTGAAAAAAGAGTTTATAAGACCATTAACTGAAGAAAAGATTGATGTCAAAATGTGAAACTTGTGTGATATCTGCATTACATAGTGTAGATTTTCAAGTTTGTTAAAGTTAAGACCCCTAGTGATAGGAAAGGATTACGTGTTCAAAGTTCATATAGGAATATATGCTGGGTAAAAAAATCTTTCAAAATCCTCCTCGAAGAATCACACAGCCAGAGGAGTTGAACTTTATTTGAAAGCTTCACTACATAGTATACATCCAAGTTTGTTCAAATTATAATCGGATTTCTAGGGGTATGGTGAGGCCACAATGGATGATCAAAGTTTTTCATAGGAATTTTGAAGAAAAAATTCAATATTTTCTTCCAAAGAACAGCAAAACCATCAGTCATACTAGTATGGAAGCATTCTGATGTAGTGTAGATTTGTTTTTTCAGGTATGACCCCTAGGGGTAGGGTGGGTAAAAAATGAATGATCAAAGTTTTTAGTGTGCATATATTGGGAAAAATCTCAGCAAAACCAATTGTCATATTTATGTTTAGCATCTTCAGGTAGTGTAGATTCAAGTTTGTTCCAGTAATGACCCTGGGAAAAAATTGGGCCAAATTAAAAATTTTAAGTTTTACATAAAAATCTTGGTGGAAAATGATATGCTGATGCCCAAATCTTCAGGTGAGCATCATGGCTTATGGGCCTTTTCTGAAATCGGTTATTGAACATGTATTGAAAAGGTTGAATGTGACTATGGTTTAATCAACAAGTCATGTGCATATTTTTTCCAGGATTTTCATTGGATAGAGTCGTTGGAGCCCCTGATGAGCCTCCAGCCAAGAAAATGAAGGTCAAATGAGGGCCAATCAACTGTCAGAGAGTTCACAGCAGCTCCAGCCAATGCTGTGGAACATACTCATGTTGTGTTTGAACTTGTCATTGCATTAAATTGAACATGATGGTTGAATAAGATATTCATTGACAAATTAATTGAAAGTGTCTGTCCACTAAATCTGAAAAACAGTTCCAAGAGAGAATTTTGGTTTTAAAAATAATTCTGTTGAACAGTGATCGCTTTATTTGTTCCTCAGTATTTGATTTTTTTCTTGAGTTAATTGTTGATGTAAAATATTCTGACTAGACATTTAAGAACTCTTAATTCTTACAAGTGGCAATATTCAACAATAAGTGTTAACACAGGTTTTCTACAACCTGGGAGGTGCAAGCTTGCAATGACAAGGTTAAGTGGGTCAGTAAGATATTATATTAAATAACTCATAAACCTCATAAACCCACTGATTAACTGCTTGTAAGTGTAGCTGGACTTCCACTTGATGCAATATATAAATCTGGCTGGTAAAGTTGAAGGCCAAAGAGGCTTGAGCTTATGTGCAATCTTGATTTAGATGATTCATTTTTAGCTCACCTGAGTCAAAGGTGAGATTTTCTGATCCAAGTTTATCTGTTTACCTTGTAGTAATCATTACTGTAATGTGAACTATTCACGATTTTGTCTTCTTCTACAGAACTACTGGTCCAATTTCAACCACACTCTCCAAAAAGCAGGGTTAAGGGGATTCTATTTTTCTTTTCAAATCAAGAGTTATGTTTTATTTCAAGGGGAGAGAATTTTAGAATATTGATTATTTAGTAGGTTCATTTAAAATTTTCTTCTCAAGAATGAATTAGCCGGAAAAGATAAAACTTATGTGTAAGATTCCTGACAAAGACTTGAGTTAATTTGTTCAAATCAAGGCCCATAGAATTCAACTGTATAAATCCAAACTTAATGCAGATTTAAGTCTGTTTAAAAACTTCAGGATAAAGGGAAGGTGTGAAATTTTTGATAACAGCAGGGCGAAGGATATTTGTAAGAAAGCATTTGTAGATATTGCAGAATTAAGTTTGTTAAAATCTTGGCCCTCTGGGATAGGTTGGGTCAACATTTAGGGAATAGTAGGGCAACATTCCTATGGAAACATTTATGTGGAAAATATTTATATGAAAACATTCTAAAGTTGTATGAATTAATTTTTTTATCATTTATTTAAAATAATGGATCCTTTGTTGTCAGAGAAAAGAGCCAAAGCAATTGTTATCTTATTCTTGTTTACCTCATCTGCGAACATTGAAGCCATGTAGTCAAAATAATATTGAAGCATCCCCAAAAGTGTTCATTCATTATTCAGTTATATACATGTATATGTTATACCAAAATACTTTGAGGTGAGGATGAAACCACAATGTGGGATAAGAATTTTCTTTTAATTTGTTTAAAGATGAAATTTTCTTTTTTATTAAACCTTGAGATGAAAAACTGGTGGGCTAAGGTGACTCAGGTGAGCTTTGTGACCCAGGGGTCTTGTTTTCTAGTCATGTTGCTCTTTACCCATTCTTTGTTAATTGTGACTGGGGGTTAGGTGTATTTTTTATATCCAGTCCTTTGTTTTGTGACTGTTATTTCTTCCTGTTAAATTCTTATCAAATAAAGTTCCTCCTTTTTGGTGATAAAATCTAACTAGAAAAGAAGATTGCAGTGATTCCCAAATCTTATTAGCCAGAGAGTGATTGGATGATGAGCAAAATCAATGTTTGCTTGCTCTGACTTCATTACAGTTCTTTATGTGTTTTTCTCTATTGTTGGACAATCAAGAACATTACATTTAGGCACAGAAAAATTCGGAGGGAATGTTTTTTTTTTCTTTTTAAAAGAACTTTTTAGATTTTTAAAATATTCTATTAAAATATGAAAAATAATATTATTGTTCTCTTAACCTTGGTTGAAAAAATTTTCAGGATAAAATTTTGTTATCTGGGTATTATGAATTGGTTTAATATATCATTAAGAAGAATAACTTTTTTTTCCTCTAGACAGCATCTATGACTAGTGCTTTGAATAGTTAAAGATATGCAGTGCTTAAACTTTTACTTATTCTCCTCTCACATATGATGTCATTTCTTTGTTTATTCTGAGTTTGTTTTCCTAGTAAAATACATATATTTGAATCTGAACTGTTTGTTTTCCCTGTTTAGATTAGCTGGGTCATTCAGATGACCTTTTACCTTTTGCTTTCCCTTTTTAGCTCAACTCTACGATGGCAAGATGAGCTTATGCTATACCCCCAGCACTGGCATCCCAGTTCAAGTTTTAAGAGCAAGTCCAATCCCAATAAAACCTACCTAGATCAGACTTGCATGAGATGATGCATCTAGAGATGAACATTACCAGACTTGCTTTGGATGCTAGATCTGACCTACATTTTCCAGATGAATAACTAGGGATGATGTATCTAGAAGTGTAGACTTCCCTTTCTGCTTCAGGTGCTAATTTGACCTAGATTTTCCACATGAGTGAAGTTGAGCTTTTCTTAAAAAAGCAAATTAGTATGGATGATGTGTCTAGAGATGGACACTTCCAGACTTTGTTCGAATTTTACCTATATTTTCCAGATGAGTGAACAGGGTCAAGATTGTGAAGTAGCTTTATTATGTAGCCTCTAATGATTAAACTTGCATGGATGATGCACTTCAAGTCTTGCTTCAAATGCTGGAACTGACTCATGTTTTAGATTTAAAGAACATTCTTTTGAGCAGGTCCATTTCTAATTAGGTATTAGTCCAACTTAAAGCAAACTTGCATGGATATTTATCTTATGATGCACACAAGTTGGAAAAAAAGATGTAAATTTGCCTTACTTATGGACAACATTGGTGGAGGTGAGCTTCGCAAATTTGATTACAAGTTTATGTTTCAAACTCAATGAAACTGGTAAACCAATATCAGAGGAATCGCTATAAGATTGTGAATTTCATGGTCTCCATTAAATGTACATCTTTTAAGAGAAAGAAGGTGTTTAAGGCATGGACAATCCCCCCGCTCGGAGACAATATGTTTCTCAATTTTCAAAATTAATGCAAAATTTATTAGGGCCCTGCTCCAGCTATCCTCCATCCGAGATCTCTTGTCTGGAGCATATCCTCTCTCTCCTCGGCCCAATCTGGCTCATACTTAAACCACAGAGTGCCTTTGGGTAACCGGTGTGCAGTGACCTTGAACCATGTTTCAAGGTCAAGGTCATAGCAGAATTATATGAAAATCCTTGTTTGGAGCATATCTTCTCTCTCCTTGGCCCAATCTGGCTCATACTTCACCCACAGAGTGCATTTGTGTAACGGATGTGAGGTGACCTTGAACCATGTTTCTAGATTAAAGGTCAAGGTCATAGCAGAATTATATGAAGAATCCTTGTTCGGAGCATATTTCTCTCCTATTAGTCCAATGTTGCTCATACTTCACTCACAGAGTGCCTTTGGTCAGTGAATGTGCAGTGACCTTGAACAAAAATTCAAGGTCAAGGGTCAAGGTCAAAAATAGCCTTTCTGAATAAATTTTTATCTGGAGCATACATGTATTTTCACTTTCCTTGGACTAATCGGGCCTATACTCACAAACAGAGTGCCTTTGGGTAAAGGATGTGCAGTGACCTTGAACCATGTTTCTAGGTCAGAGGTTAAGGTCATAGCAAAATTATATGAAAAATCCTTGTTCTGAGCATATCTTCTCTCCCCTTGGTCCAATTAGGCCCATACTTCACTCACAGAGTGCATTTGGGTAAAGTGTGTGCAGTGACCTTGAACCTTTTTTCTAGGTCAAAGGTTAAGACCATAGGAGAATTATGTGAATCTCCTATTAGTCCAGTGTTGCTCATACTTCACTCACAGAATGCCTTTGGTCAGTGAATGTGCAGTGACCTTGAACAAAATTTCTAGGTCAAGGTAAAAAATACCCTCTCTTTTTAAAGTCTTTGTTCGCTGCATAATTTCTTTCCCTTAAGTCCACTCAGTCTCAAACAAATTGACTGGGTATGGAACATTTGTGATTTTCCTTCAATATTATGATCAAGGATATAGAGGATACATTTCTAAAAGTGTTTTAATTGTATTATTTTTCAGGGGGTAATACTTTTTGTCCCCTTTAATCTCAAACACCTTCAAAATAAAACCTTTTAAGCTACGTTACATTTTCATGTTCATTGCTAAAAGCGGTGCCATTTGAGATGGCCATCATCTTAATGATTTCGAATTTTTTCTAAAATCATGTTTTCAGTAATGTCATCTTCAAAATATTATTTTTTTTCATAAGGTCACTTGAGTTAACTCAGGTGACCTATTGCTATCCCTTTTCATCCGTCATTGTGGGTCCTTCGTCGTGCGTTAATATTTGAACATTTTCAGCTTCTTCTTTGAAACCACTGAACCAATTTTAACCAATTTTGGCATATAGCATCTATGGGTGAAGAGGAACAAAAATTGTGAATTTCATGGTCCCTGCCCCCCTGGGGCTTGGGGCCAAAACCACTAAAATAATGCAATCTTTAAAAATGCTCTTCTTTACTAGTGGATATCAAGCAGTCAAACTGTTGGTATGATTGTAATCAGCATTGAGACCTCTACCAAAATTATGAAAATCATAGCCCCAGGGTCAGGGGTTCTAGTGCTAGGGCGGGGCAAAGTATGTTATATAATGAAAATGCATTATTTCTTTGAAATTCTTTTCTGCTCCTGGGCATTAAATAAACTAACCAAGTGCATAGTTGAGTTGAAAATGACTGCCTCTTTCAGAATTGTGAATTTCATGGCCCCAGGGTCAGGAGTTTTAGTGCTAGGGCGGGGCTATATAGATTATATAGTGAAAATGCATAAATTCTTTGAAATTCTTCTTCTCTGTTCTTGGGCATTTAATAAACTAACCAAGTGCATAGCTATGCTGAATAAGGCTGCCTCTTCCAAAACTGTGAATTTCATGGCCCCTGGTTTGGGGGTTCTGGTGTTAGGGTGGGGCTCTATTGATTATATAGTAAAATTGCATAAATTCTTTAAAAATCTTCTTTTCTGCACCTAAGTATTAAACCAATGAACTATGTACGTAGTTATGAGGAGGAAGGATCCTTGAGATTAGTGAATTTCAGGGCCCCTGGGTCAGGGCTTCTTGTGTTAGGGCGGGGCTCTAACGTTTATATAGTGAAAATGCATGAATTCTTTGAAAATCTTTTCCTTTGCTCCTGTGAAATCTATTTCATTTGTCCAAAAAATGGAATCTGAACACATTCTATGTGAAAATCGAACTTTTCTGAAAAAATGCACCCTTCAATAAACCCTTTCATTTAAATCACACTGACAGTGGCAGACATCGATAACGCATGTACTTCGTAGCGTTGTGGTTAACGCGGTCAGTCTTGTAAAACCATGCGCTATGGAGAGAGTTCGAATCATACATGAAGCTTTTTCTTTTGGTTTTCAAATATATCTTAAAAACATGAGTGAAAAAATAAATTATAAATAAAGTATTAAAACAATGAAATACAGAATTCAATGTGTAAAAGATGATATAAACCATATAATTTTAGAAAAAAAATTCGCTTTCATGAACTTTTAGAATTGAGAAATGTCTTTTCTCAGAGCGGGGGATTGACATCGCCTTGCATGCCTCCATTCTTTATGCATACTTTACTTCCTGAAAATAGATACATTTTCATGGATATTAGAATATAAAAATAGGAAAAAAGGGGGGAGGCCTGTGAGTAAAATTGAAAATTCTGAAACCTAATTGCATATATTGTCTACGTAAAATATTATGTCTGTACATAAAACACCACCTTTCATATTCAAAAGATTATGTGGTGATTCGAAACAAGGGTCAACAAAGCGGGGCGTTTTTCGACCCCAAATTTATCCCATGGATGAAATTCAGAAAACTTATCGCAGATGTACAGCTAGGGCATCACCAATCATCGTGCAAAAGATGATTTGGTTATTGTGTTAAATGTAAGAGGAGCTCTAGGAAAGGTTGTGCATAACGTTATTTACGGGTGTATTTTTTAGTTCGAGAAAAATGTCTTGGAAAATTAATACTTCATAATAGTTTTTGTTTAACATACTGAGTATACCCACGTGATGCAGTGGTTTGAGCGTTTGCTCTATCTAGAGTCGAGCAGTAAGGAGTAGATATTTACGTTGCGGGTTCGAATCCACTGCGGAACGTGGAGAGCGTCCTTCGCCTGAAAACTGTAAACCGAATGTCCTTGTCGCAATTTGCAGATGATACCAAAATATTTTCCTTCACTATTTGTTGAATATGAAAAATTAATCATCACAAGTTCCTGACTTAATCAGGTTTAAGGAAAAAAGCCTTTTATGACTATCTTTCGAAAAAGTACAATAATTACTGTTTCATTTCTATAAAAAATCCTAAATGTGTCAAAATTTGAAAATACACCTAAGGAATTGTATTGGGCGACTTATGTCGTTCGCAGCTGTTGGAATTTTTTGTTATATTATCATGATATTATTGGAACTTCGTGTTATTCTAAAATGTCAATATGATTTTTTTTAAATTTACAACAAAGCTAGAAATTCAATCTAGTAAAAGACGCAACTGCGCGTACTTTTAGTACGTTGAAAACAAAACAAAAACCGGATACAAATTTAGTAGTGCAGAAACGAACTGTTAATGAAAATTTAATCTTTGTATTGAAATAAGATATTAAAGAGCACAGAACGATTACAGAATTTATATAGCTGCAGAACAGTAGATCTCTGTTTGAGAAAAATTATCTGCTCGAAAAATTATTTCATCCGAAGGACCGGTCTCCGCGTCCTTAAGAGGGATTCCAACCCGCGACGCAAGGATCAATCCTTACTTCGCGACTCTAAAGCACTCCAACCACTGCACCACGGGGGCGCGGCATACTGTAACAAAAGGGTCGACGACACATCTGACATGATCGAAGTCCCTATCTGAATAGTAGGTTCGAATCGGCAAA